GTGACAGTGAAGTGTTTTGGAACTGGGATAAATATGATGCTTCCAGAGTGCCTTCGCCAACCACTTCAGATATTGATGATTCTTAATTCAGTTTTTCAAAGAAATCCAATTCTGCATTCACTTTGACAAGTTTGACAGAGTAACACAGAAACGTACTGTGTTCCTTCACTACTGTCGAAGGGTCTTTATTATACAGTAATATTAACTGATGACCACGTTTCGAGCACAAACTATTGCCACTCATAATCATATCAAGTCACTCACTCACACAACTTTCTTGCTTCATTTATATACATGTGTGGAATTGAGTAGATATTGGAATAAAATTCAATATGAGATAATGTACATTCAGAAATAATAATATGAGTGTTGTTAATCAATTACAATTAGATGGGAAATAAGACGAGTGTTTTCATAGTCAAAATAAGTAACTTGTTAGAATGTTATAATGTATGTGAATTGAAATAGAATTTTAAGATTATTTATTATCCTCCTTGCAAACTGAATCCTGGTTCATTGAATCTACACCCAACACAACACATGCAACAGAAATGACTCAGTGCAAATACCAGAAATATGGAAGACATTATTGCCACCAGTCAGTCAAATCAGAGGGGGATAATAAATAATCTTAAAATTCTATTTCAATTCACATACGTTATAACATTCTAACAAGTAACACTTATAATGACTATAAAAACACTCGTCTAATTTCCCATCTGAATGTATTTGATCAATAACACTCGTGTTATTATATCTGAATGTACATTATCTTATGTTCATTTTTATTCAAATGTCTAATCATCCATTCCACTCATGTACATAAATGAAGCAAGCAAGTTGCATGAGTAACTTGATATGATTATGAGTGGCAATAGTTTGTGCTCGAAACGTGGTCATCAGTTAATATTACTGTATAACACCACTGTGTGATTTATCAAAATAAAATCTTATCCATAATGGAGTTATACTCTACCGCCCCAGTGCCCAAGTTTTACTCTTATATTGAAGGGTCGTTGCATTTTTTTTTCAAATCCTAAAAAATACCTATTAGGACATCACAGTGAAAAAAGAACAAAAAGTTGAGCGAAGATAACCTTTGGGGCCAATTCATTCTCAAAAGCCGCATTACTCTTCCAAACTTGTCAAAGTAAAGTGTCGGAATATACACATTTGATAATAGGGAATAAAAAGACAGTTGCAGCGAAGAAAATTTTCTTTTCGACGAAGTCATCATCTAGGCTGTACATTCGTGTATTTATATCCAATGGATAGGAAAGTTCCAGAATAATTTCCGGTTAAGGGTCAAATTAATAAAAATTACAATTAGGATTAGAATGCCATAATAAACATCGGCCGTACCATGTGCCGACTTGGAAAACGCGCTCGCGAACTCTACCCAGCCTGGCTAGTGAAAGGAGACCAAAAACGTATGTACAGTTCAGTGACAGAACATCTGGTCAACTCAGGACATCCAGCGCCTTTCGAAAAGTCCTTTAAAGTAATATATAAGATTCAATCAAACCTATCAAAGGGAGTGAAATCAAGGCATTTGGGCATAGCTGAGGCTCTAGCTATCCAAAAACTCAAACCCACCCTTTGTATCCAAAAGAAATACATCCAACCCCTATCCCTACCATGGCCATCATAAACAGGTAAATTTTTAAATAATGACCATCCCATCGCCTTTCTTATCTAAACTTCCTGTTTATTCATGTTATTTTAAGTTTTTTTTCAATTCCTGTCTACACTACCATGTTTTCATATCCACACTTCCTGTTTATTTTGTCATTTTATTATTTCTACATATTTAATCCCTGATTGCATAAACAATTATTCGTCACATTAGCTATGATCCCACTAGATTTTCTCATCCAAAAATTCTGTCTATTTTGTTATTTCTACACTTCTAACCCCCAATTGCACAATGTCAATCATCTTAGTTATTATGCTACTTTGTTTGAGTTTTACCCGCCCCCCCCCTGTTTATTATGGCATTCCAATTCCTAATTGTAATTTTTATTAATTTGACCCTTAACCGGAAATTATTCTGGAACTTTCTCATCCATTGGATATAAATACACGAATGTACAGCATAGATGATGACTTCGTCGAAAAGTAAAATGTAAAATTGAACTTCTTTGAAGACTGCATTACATATCATCTCAATATCCAAAGTGGTTCTGGATACAGGCATCATATTTCTCCCAATTTCAAAATTAGCAAACTCGGTTATAAGGTAAACAACTTGATCGGAACACAAACAAACCGTAATAATCAATAATCAATATCTCATCAACATCATCGTCATATCAATAGAAAAAAACTAAGCGTTTACACTGAAAAACTCTTTATTTTTTTCAAAAAACTTTCTCTTTAATAATGTATGTATGTATATATTCACAGTAATTTGAGCTTCTCACTCTCTCTCTCTGGAGAGGGAGAGAGAGAGACGGGGGGGGAAATAACCCCTCCATACACACACAAACAGACAGACAGAAGAAGGGGAGGGAGAGAAGACAAATCGATTAATGATTGAATGAATAAGCAGGTCAACAAGCACAATGATAACTGTGTCTGAATGACTGTCGACCTGTGTGTGTGTGTGTTTATTGATTGATTTCATTTTCCCCGAATTCTTGACAAGTCAACAGGGATATATATGGAGGAATTCAATAATGAGAAGTGGTGAATGTGAGTGAGTTTACAAAAATAATATGGGTGTGTGCGTGTGTATGTGTGTACGCATGGGTGTATGAATAATGAATAGAAATAGAATAGAAATATTCAAATAATATTACCATTATTATTACTACTAATATTATTGTTAAATCATCGTACAATATTAGAAAAAAACCCATAGTTTGACCACTTTCTTACAAACATACATATTAGAGATAAGAGGGAGGGGAGAAATAAAGAGGGCAAAAGTGAGGAAAACAAGAAAACACACCGGTGATCGTTATTCTGGATGTGAAGAAAACCGATCCCCGTAACGCACACATACACACAGGGAAGCACTTACAAGTGTGTACCCCCTCCTCCACTCACAGTACACACAGGCGCTTGAATGTTCACAAAACGACAAATACAAATATAGTATATATATGTGCATAAACAAAATAGATTTCAGTGGTAGAAATGACATCTCACATCGCATCACTATACATACAGGAAGGAAGGAAAGAGGGCAGTATAAAGTATATACCATATATATCACTAATTGGCATATACTCAAACACACTGATTATTCGTATATATTTTGCCAATAAAAGGAAGAAATTAGAGAAAGAAGGATTTATATATAATATAAGACACTTGGCGGTGTCTGTGGGCTACACGGATAATACTTTGGAATGATTAGTGAGACTAAGAAAATAAAAGAAGAGATACCACCCACGCTCCCGCTCCCGTAACCCATCCCACTTTCCGAATGAAAGGTGTTTGTTTATGAAACAGATTAGACACAAACTGTCATCAAATGTTATGTTGTTAATCAACAACAATCATGAATTTCGTTGAGAACTATCGGTGACAAAAAAACACAGTCACATTTACGCAGTGATGATAATTTAGCAGGATCGAAGGAAAACAAAGCAAGACTTCATATAAAATTATTGGGGGAATGGAGCGGGAGGGAGTGGAGAGTGGAGTGACACGAGGTGTTTCAACGAAACCACACCTATTAATAAAGTAAAATAAGAAAAAGCTTCTCAAACAAATTGAAAAATAACAGGCACTAATGGTTGTTACTTCATCTATTGTTTATGAATATTACAACGAATAGAAATAATAATGCTAATATTAGTAGTAATCATAATAGTGATAGCAATAGGAATAATCAATTATTTTGTAGAGTAGATTAGAAATTGAAAGACACACACATATTTCATCACAAAAACACCCCTATCTATCTTCATACATTCAAAAATGAAAAAACGCCCACACAAAAAAATCTAACCAATCCAAACACGTACATGTTTGGTAAGATGAAAAGGCGGAGGGTAGAACGATGAGTGGGTGGATATATACGCGGAATACATGTTAGAAAAATAATTATAATAATAATAATAACAGATTAACTCTCATCATTAATATAAGAGTTAGTGGAGAGGGGGACAGTGATTGGCTAGAAGTAATGATACCGTTGTTCGTAGTCGCCACCGATGATATATCCTCGGTGTGTCGTGGTACGTTGACATATGAAAAATTGTACAAAAAAAAGTTTATGGTTGTTGTTTTAGAATAAAAAATATATCTAAGCAGTTAACAAAACGAAACTATAAACATAACAAAAACTGATTGTAATAAGTATAGCAGTATAAATGATGATCTGGGTTCATCTGTGTGTGGATCTCTTTGCTTCTCACTCCACTACTCGCTTACCCATATGCACAAACAAACAAACAAACACGCACAAAATAGGTAAAATGAACCAGAAACAAGAAAAAAAAAATATTGTCAAAATAGGTGTGTACACCAACGAATGAGAGAAAAACAGGTTAACGCAAAACAATAATAATGTGTGTAAAATTACAACTCCGTTTTTATCAAACAAGAGACTGCCAACCAACAAGATGGTTTATCGTTACATAGGGACATGAATAGGAAAGAAGACGAAGAAGAAGAGGGGGGGGGTAAAGGAGTGCATCTCACAATCGACATATACTGTACATCATCATGGGGGCAGGGGACTAGGCACTTTTACAGTTGTACACTCTACTACTCAAAGAAAGACAAAGAAAAACTTGTCTTCATTGAATGGTGGACTGACCGGACCGACCGGTCTGATTAACTGACAGGAGACTCTACACACACCACACAAAACAGAACATCACTTGAACAAGAAAAAAACAACAGAATAGAGTATAAAAAAGTAGGATAAAGGGTAGAAGAAATCTGAATCGATGAATAAAACGAAAATGAGCACTCACACACACACACACACACAGAAACAGAAATATACGGAGTTGATTGGCTGATTGGTGTGTTCACCACACATCCACTCTCAGATGAGTTTATCAAGTTCAAGATAAAATTGCGAAGCGTATCTGCAAGTATTGATGAGACACAACGACAATCAATTTCAAGGACGGTAAATCCATCAGCCAGCATGTATGTATACACTACTACAGCATTTTTATTGTTCACATTGGCCCTGTAAAAAAACAAGAAAAAAGGACAGTTATAGAATAATATAAAGCTCAGATAGTTTCATTTAGTGAAGAAAAATCTACAGAGTCCTAACGATAACTGTGACGCATAGGCACACTTAGCAGCATCGTCAAACACACTTGCCACATTTGTTGACCTGGAAGTTCATAGTGGACTGCGTTGAGTGAGAGTTGCTACAGCGATATTCGTCTGTAAAAGAAGTTTTGAAAAATTATATCGCACTAATCAAGGCACTCCACTCGATTGAACTTATGGAGCTGTGTCACATATATAGTGATGACAACCAATGCTGTCCATCAGGGATGTCCCCCTTGTAATCATTTCCCTTTAATTCCATTACAGATGCAGTAATGGACCTAACCCTAACTCACTTCAGTGACTCAGGGATTGTTGAGTTGTTACCAGGGAGTAGTCTTCTTAACTTAGAGAATATGTGGATGATATGGTCCTCCTAGGTAAAGCAGAGTTTTCTGAACACCTTGAACAGAAATTTTAGAATGTTTGACATGCAATTCACTCTTGTAAAACGTAAGTAAGATAATGGTGTACAGGAATCGACTACACCAACTAACACCTAGCTTAAAGATAAGCAAAAGTGAAGTGGTTGAGAGTGTTGATCACTTTATTTTTTTTCGAAGTTGAATCGACTCTAATGGACTGACTGACTGATTGATGAGGAAATCTCAGTACAGATAACACAAAAGTTCGTTTGGCATCTGCCAAACTGCGTCATCATCACCGACTCAAAAGTGATGTCTTACTGTAACGCGAGAAGATTAAAGATTTGGTAATGGATGTTTATTAAAGAAAAACACATCATGCTTAGGCCACACATTAATTGTCGGTTAGGTCAGAGGCCGATAAATTGTTTTGATTGGTTAGAGATTGGTCAAGGTTAAACAAGGTTGTCCAATGAGGTTATTTCATCCCCCACACAAGGCCAACTAAATCCAGATTTGGGGAATAAACATTTCTACCTCTGCAGCCATTGACTTAAAATGTTGATTTCAATTTTGGCCACTTCCTACGCCAAACTACTATCGATCAAAGAAATGCGCAGAAGTTCGATCTGTCCTTCTTTATGACTGTTAAACATGGCCATTGAGAGTGAGTGGTAGTTATGAAAAAGTTAGCTATATATAACCACAGATGTTTGCGTTTTATCTCCCATATTAAGTAGTATAATATGGCGGGTGATATCAACATTAGGTGTGGGGAAGGCAAGCCAATCAATGCGTTTTGTGAAGCTACATCAACTAAGATGTCTAGGAAATGTGTTGCGCATGCCAGCCAAGCCATCACAGTCTTCGCCGACAGATGATGTTAGCTGACATAGACTTAGACTGGAAAACAGTAAGGAGTGGTTGTACAAGATCCTGGCATCAGTTCACGAAGTCTCTGATATATGGTTTGAGTCAGGTAAGGAAGTGTTGACTTCCTAGTTGTGGGGTTCTCAAGATCTCAAGAATCAATAGCCTGAAACTGTTGGCGATATCGTTTCAAAACTATCCTCAATGCCACAGAGACACTGACTCCCAGACCCATTAATCCCTCATATTGTTGTTGCTGTATTTCATGTGTTATTATTCTTTCCCCGTATACATTTCTGCTCTTTAAAGTACTTTTGAATTTTGCTTTTTTTTCCGCTACATGGAGCATGGTGGTCTGTTTAAATCACTCGGCTACCAGAACAACTAACTGTCATCTACACATCAGGATGCCTAAACTCTTCTGCATTTCTTGTTGTTCTAAATCAAGGAATTATCTCAGATGATTGATATAAGTATAAAACTTGGGCACTGTGGTGGTAGAGTGTAACTCCATCATAGGTAAGATTTTATTTTAATAAATCACACAGTGGTGTTATACAGTAATATTTACTGATGACCACGTTTCGAGCACAAACTACTGCCACTCATAATCATATCAAGTTCTTCAAAACTACTGTGGCGTTTCCTTTGTCAGCTTTTGCGATGACAATAATTTTATCCTGTTTTAAACTAATTAAAGCTTCTCTTTCCGATTTTGTTAAGTTTGATTTTGCCTTCTTTCGATTTTTCAGGGTTAATGCACATTGTGCTCGAACCTGTTCTGCTGTTGTCTTATCTATTGAACCTAGTGCTACTTCTATGTTAGGAATGACATCCTCTGGTTTTAATTTACTAACTATTACGTTGAAATTTAGTCCTTTCTCCGGTACTTTTATCTCACTGGAGCTTAGTTCCCTTGATGAGAGGTTGATTACCCACTTTGTTCTGTCGATAGAGGATGAAGCGTTAACATCAATTTTGTTTGCTGTGTTCTTTTCTTCAATTATTTTGTTGCATTTTTTGATTTGTGTGGTTTTTGATTTTTTTAATGCTGATTCTCTAGCTTTTTCGGATGTTTCAACAACAATTACATAATCTTTGTCATTGACCATATATTTGAGTTTGTGTTTGAGTTTTTTGATTTCATTTCGTATATTATTTAGTTTCACAGTAATTCGATGTAGTTCTTCTCTTAGACATAATCTACTGATATGTTCAGCTGATATGATTATGAGCAATAGTTTATGCTCGAAACGTCATCAGTTAATATTACTGTACAACACTGTGTGATTATCAAAATAAAATCTTATCCATAATGGAGTATCTCAGATGATCACTACATGGAGCGTGAAGATGTTAAAATTAGCTTTCAACAAAACTTCGTGTGCACTTCTTGGCCATTGAGAGCAGAAGACATGAAAAGATTAGCTGTCTTCGATCATAGGTGTCTGCGTTCTATCTCCCGCGCGAAGTGGTATAATAAGGTGAGCAATATTGAGGTTAGGCGTCGAGTGCTAGGTAAGGCGGGGAAATCAATCGACGAAACGGTGAAATTACTTCGACTGAGATGGTTAGGACATGTGCTACGTATGCCTAGTCATCGCCTTCCTCGACGGGCAATGTTAGCTGATATAGGGCCAGGCTGGAAAAGAGCTAGCGGCGGTCAAACGAAAACATGGCACCAATCAATGAAATCTACAACAGTTAATCTAAGCCACGTAGGAAGATGTAGACTTCCTGGTTGGGGTTCTCAGGACGGTAGAAACCAATGGTTGGAAACAATTGGTGACATGGCTCAAAATCGTTCTCAATGGCTGGTACAGATGCATCCACTCCTTGTGACTTATGATTTCCAATTAAACTGTTTTGTTCTCCGCTATTACTATTCCTTTGTCTCACACCTCTGTTTACTGTTTCCATTATGCATTTCTTCTACTTCCTTCTCTTGCTTTGCGTGCTACATAGATTGTGGCGACTTGAACTGCCGCACATATGTGCAAAGTTCTATGTCGAAAACCGACCGACCGACCGACCGCACTTCTTGAAGGAACTGAAGAACAAATGTACAGAACTGGTTTTCTTTTTTCATATGCAAATACTGAACCACGTCACATGATACACTTCATATATATTATTTACTTTACATGAAAATTCTTGTATGAAGAGGAAACATTTTGGAAGTAAATACGGTGAATATTTCTGTACTATGTATTCACAAAATATTGTCTGAAATAAAGCTTTTTTTCCCTTCACGTTCCCCAGTGGAACATAGGGCTTCAAGCGAGTGGCTTGAAGTTTCTGTAGCAGTGTTTATTTTACAGGATGGAGTTGCTAGCCTGCCTCATGCCCAACCTTTTTTCTTCACCAGCATTATTTCTGGCTTAGTGAGCGAGGTAAAGGATTGCGTCTGTGGCCGGGGATCGAACCCCGGACCATGTGCATGGTCGGAGAGCGTCCTAACCGCTGTGCCACCGACGCACAGTACTGTGTTCACATATTGTATGAAATAAAGCTTTATTATTATATTATTAAATAGTGCACCTCTACTCAAAGTTCCACGTTGAAACTCACTCACTCACTTAGTCAGCCAGTCAGTTAGTCGGTCAACAGTTAATCTGATGACAAAAAGAATACCCACATACATTGAGTATGTTCTCTGTCTTTTTATTAACAAAAATTGTCTGAATATCTGTGTATGTGCGTGTGTGTGTGTGCAAGCTACTTACACATATGCACTGTTCATGAATTAGAAACACAATACATACTACATAGAACACTGAACGTGTAACTCAACTACTAAACTACTACTCACGATAATTCACAATTCGCAGTCATAAATTCAGACATGAAAAACTCAACAGCTGGATATTTCACCTTCACCTAAATAATCGTAAGTTGTTATAACACTAAAGTAAGTTGCCAACATCTCTCTCTGTATTCAGGTATGCTAATTAACCTTTGGAGTTTATTTTGTCTGATCGAGATAAACAACATAACGTTGAAAAACCAATCAGAAGTCATTTGGTGGATGGTGACTAGCAATGAAATCCACGATGCGAGCATTTTGTCTTATTTGAGACTGGTCACACAACTGGTTGTGATGTGTCTGGTATTCATTCCCCAGTAAGCGATGATGGTTCTCCTCCGATGGGGCTCGAACCCAGTGGTCATCGTTACGATAAAACGCTAAAGTGTTACTCCGCTAGACCACATGTTTTAGTCATTTATGTTTAATTTATTGCAGGATTTCATCATCAGCTGACATCAGTTAGAGAACTATTGGAAAACCTGCAGGGAGTACTCGAGAGCTGCTTCGTCCTGGCTTTCGACTCGTCAGTAGTACGTACCTACATAAACGGTTCGAACCCAGAACCTTATACTTACAAGGCGAGCTAGCTGGTAGACCACTAAGCCACTGGGGCATTACCGAATGACCAGTCTATGAATTCTAACTTCTGCCAATTCGTGACATAGAGCGACCACTTAGCAATGTCTTCTCCGATGAGTTACTGTTTCACCTTCAACCTGCTGTACCCCCCAACCAATGAAAAGAAATTCCCTACATAACCAATACTTGAAATTATGTTTAATTTAATTTTGATTTTCCCGCTGATTGACTGGGCCGAGTAGGTGTACAAAGTCTCGTTAAAATAAAAATCACTGTAAACCAACAAACGACTATTTCCATTCCTTATTCAGTGGAATGTTTGGAAGCACGGAGTGCAGATAGCTCGAGTCTCAGTGGGAAGATCATCATTCACTGAAGTATATCCACCAGATGACGAGTCCCAAATAGGACGAAGTGAGCAACCACCATTGGATTCCACTGTTAGTCGCCATCCATCAAATTACTTCAAGTTAATCCCCTCAGACATCGTTGAAGCATCCGCACTAAGAGCTGACATATCATCAACAGAGGCGGAAACATTTCGGTCCAGTCAAGCAACGGGGAAGTATCAAGATTGAATTAAAAATAAGAGAAACATCACTTTAACGATAATTCCAACATAGAATAATTCTATTCGATAAAAAAATCGCACAGCATTACTGACTGACTGATATTTTACGCACAGTCTTAATGCTGCTCACATAATCACACTGAGATGTATTCATTCACATAACTTTACATTATATTTCTTATCCTTTGATTTTATTGGTAGTAATATTATCCATGATGTTACATCATTCCTTATTGCATCACATTCCAGTGACCAACCATACTCCCTCTCCATCTATCTATACATATTACTTTTAAGAATTGTAACGCTGCCCCCCCTCATCCCAACCCATGCTGTTGTGTGATAGTGTGTGTGTGCTGAGTTTTTCTCAGATCTAGCCAATTTTTTCTTCGGGTCAATCATTCTACACTTAGCTAACTGCCTCATCGAAAATCCGGAACTATGTGTTCAAAAGAAACTAGTCCAGCCTTTAAACAACTACCGTGGACCTAGTTCGGTATGTTGTTTTGTTCTCTGTGTGTGTGTATTTTTCTCTCTTTGTCTTCATTCAATTCATCTCATTTCTTTTCAGTTATAAAATCCGTTATTTTAAGCTTGTTTCCATGCTCCCCTTGATCACACTTGTAATCCGTTTAGAATAACCATTTTACAGTTATATTCTAATCTTGTGTAATTCTTTGTTTCCATGCCTCTTGTAATCTATATTCACGCCTCCTCCTAACTTACATTTCAAGTTGAAAATTTTCATTTCAATTTGTTTCCATGCTCATTTTGTTCACACCTGTATATTCGTTCTATCCCTGCGTAACTTTTGTCTCTAAGCCTCTTGTAATTCATATCAAGTTGAAAATAATTATCACCTTTTATTCGCCTTTAAAATTATTTCTCCAGTTATCAAATATTAATTTTGCATACGTTGTAACTGTTTTCTAATCCTATGTAATCTTGTCTCTAAGCCCCTTGTAATCTATATTTGTACCTTCAAACTCTCATATCAAGTTGAAAACTATTATCTCCTTCGTTACTATGTGGAATCTATGTAAACTAATGTATATAAATGCGATTGTACAGGTGCATTTGAGAATGAAATCGCCGGCAAGATCGCCATCTTTGCTGAACTTCTTGCTCTTTTCCCTCGAATAGCCTGAGTTCCGAAAACCTAAACGTCACTACAAGGTATCTGATAAATTATTAAGCTATTTTATCTAATGAGGACGGAGGGGGGGTGGGGAAGTAGGGTCTTTTAGCATACTACTAGACAGCTTTTCTCTGAATGAATCTATAGATTTGAATGCTATCCTAATTCCTGTCTTATGGAGAATCCAACATAGGGTTCCTGATATCCGTCCCATGTCCCGACAGATAGCTGCTACCTTGACGTGATAGTCAGCTGTGCATATTGCATTGACCCAACGAGTTACATTAGGTGGAAGTAATGTTCCTATACGTCCTACCATACCAGAAAGGTTGTTTGGATAGCGATTATACTAAAAGCAGTTACGCTTATAGTGTACGTTACCTTTACACTATGTTAAGAGAGTCTTTGGGCGAAGTCATAGATAGTGCTGGCGAATAGGAATGTAAGAGAAGTAAGGTGTTTCCCTCAGATGATCAGCAAGTTAGCTGTACTGCTTTTCCGCTCTGCCTCTCAAGAGAGGATGGGTTAAAAAGATGAACCTCGATAATGCTACATCCCGAACTACCACCATACGGCAGTCGGTCTGTAACCGGAGGTAAGATCTTAAACTACGAACACAACTCTAAACGCCAATTCGAATAGGCCTGTGTGTGATCGGCCTCAAACAGTTGTCCCTTTGGTTCTGTGTATTCAAGCAACACTTACACTCCTTCTGTTTCAAGTGCCCCAAGAACAATACACTTCTACAGGTTTAAGACAGAATTATCGATCGACAACTCTCATTCACCTATCCCACTAACACAAACATCACTCAATGATTTTGAGCGCAATGACTGTAATGACAGTACAATACATTTGTTTGAAACCGCTCCCAAAATATTCCTTTAGCCGCACACACACACACCTAGACACAACTAACGCGCTAATACCCGAGAAATGTCCAATCAGAGGTGAGCAGTGTAACCAGGTCAACGACACTATGTTCACACTATAGGTTTTGTCGAGATTTTTGAACAATTTCTCAATGTAGATTTCAAAAATAGGTGTGGTCATTATGAAATGTCGCCAGGTAGCTAGCTAGCTACATTCTAGCCTTTTGGAGTATCACAAATTCACTAAAGCATCCATCCCTGTCTTACTCATAAAATATGACAAACAAAATACTACCAGAAAGTGTGCCGATAGTTCAGTCGCAGAACGACTGACAACCCCGCACAGTGGGCTCGGGATCGATTTTCAGCCAATGCACTCCTAAACCCTCGCCACCCTAGCATACACTATTTTATTCAGTAAAAAACATAAACTTTGTGTATATTATGTGCACCAAGCGATGCAGTATCCAGAAAATCTCATTTTGTGCGAGGGCTGGGGTACTTACTGTCTGGATGCCCAGATCGAAGTAAGGGTGGTGGTTGGTCTTAAGGGGCCAACTCTAAAAGCCGCATTTCCATGGTTTTCTCGGTGACTACAACAAATTCCATGGAGGATTTCTTCATGAGCTGACATCAGTTAAAGAACCACTGGAAAACCAACAGGGAGTACTCGATAGCCGTCTCGTCCTAGTTTGGGACTCGCCAGCGGTACGCACCCACCACAACTGGGTTCGAACCCAGGACCTTCTGGTTACAAGGCGAACTCGTAAACCATTGAGCCACTGGGACCCAATTCAATGGTCCTTGAATTCTAACTTCTGCCAATTCACGACATAGCGCGACCATTTCGCAATGTCCCAGTGGCTCAATGGTCTGCGAGCTCGCCTTGTAACCAGAAGGTCCTGGGTTCGAATCCCGGTGGGTGCGTACTGATGAAGAGTCCCAAACTAGGACGAAATAGCTGTCCAGTACTTCCAGGTTTTCCAGTGGTTCTCTAACTGATTTCAGCTCATGATGAAATCCCTACATGAAAATCCCTACAAAACCAATTCTTGAAAATACAACAAATTCATAAACCATTTGATCCTTTAGGGGTTTGGAATCGAGAGTTTCCATCTCCCCTAGGTAGAGAGAGACCAGCACATATCCACCACCACACACTTAGGTTTTAAGAAGCGGCACACGTTGTTCACAGGAGGCTAGCAACCCCAGCAGCGCCCATAAAAAAAACCCTATCGCTACTGAAACTTCAAAGCTCACAACAACATCTTGAAGCCTTATATTTTTCACTAAGAACCCAAAAATATTGACAAAAAAAAATTGGAAAAAAAACACGAACTCACACGAATATGATCTTCTGACATTGCACCACCAACACCATTAATTGGTTGTTCTATAGAAGTATTTGAAGTAAAACATCCACTCGGCAAATTCGATGAGAACTGTTGACGATTATCTAGATTTGTATCAGAAGGATAAAAAGAGGAATATCCGCCAGAACCACCACCACCGCTGCCGCTACTGCCTAATAAACCAGAATTATTGATCCCACCATGTCGAAGAATATTTTGATTATTATTATTATTAGCATTATTAATGTCGTGTTGATTTTCTGCATAGACAGAAGTTTTCTCCGACGATGGTGTTGGTGGTGGTGGTGACCAATTCCCAGTAATGAATTCACCACTATGGTTTGTATTATCATTCGGTGGTGGTCGAACACTTCCTGGCATAATAGACAGATTGTTATCCTCATTAGGGAATAACAGTCGCCGTCTATCACCACCACCACTAGCTGCTGCTGGATGGTGGTAATTTTCATCATATTGTAATGGATCTCGACAAATTGATTGTGTCAGCGGAGGCGGCGGCAGCGGCAGCGGGGGCGGTGGTTGATGAAATTGTGTATATTGACTTGAAGGACAACGAGGCTGTTGGGGATAATAAAGAGAATTTGACGATGATGATGATGAGTAGTATTGTGAAACCTGAGAAGTAGATGAAGGCGGCAGTGGCTGGGCAGCGGTGGCACAGGAGCTGGAGTAGGAGCAGGAAGGGGATGTGAAAAATATTGTCCATAGTGATATTATTATTATTACTATTATTATTTTGTGAAGGATGAATACGATGATTCATGGGATGTATGCATGGATCAGAATTGTCTAATTTTGATCGTAAATTGGAATGTTGTATCGATGGTTGTCCGCTTTGGTAATTATTTCCCAATGGATAAGGATTATAGGCATTATATGATGATGGACAACGTTGTGATTCAGAGGTGGTTGGCCAGCGTTTACTGCCAATTATTGATTGATGCTATAGAAGAAGAAACGAAATATTACAATTAAATATGTAAAATTAATTAACCTTGATCAGAATACATAACAGGTTTCCAAAAAAAGAGAAATATGCACCCGTAAACCAATTTATCATAACGGCTGATTGAGACTGAGTTTCAACATAGAAATTTGCTCAGAAGCACAAAAACAGCTGCCACACACCATGCACAGCACAGTGTCTGTACGTATGATGCACCGTGCTTTGCGTACTGTTACAAGACTGGTAGGAGCCTATATCTGCACTCACTCTTGCAGGTGAAACACTTGAAGCTGTCGATAAGTTAGTGTATCTGAGTAGTTGTGTGAGTGCTGGTGGAGGTGTGACGGACGACGAGATTTCTAACTGTATCATGAAAGCTAAGGTGGTGGTATACGTCAATTTGAGACACCTCTGGCTGTTAAAGGTTGGGTTTACAATGCTTCGATGTGAACAGTCTTGCTCTACATCCGTTGAAACCTGGCCTCTCGGAGCTGAGGATGTTCGGTGACACCCCTGTCTCCATAGAATTGCTTACCTTCGATGGCATCATTGTGTGGGTAATTCCGAGGTCCGACAGCGTGTGTTTGAATACAGTGGGGAGATCATTCATTGAGTGTTGTCATCTAGAAACACCAGTTCATTCCGATGGCTTGGACATGTGCTATGTGAATATCATCTCAGAGGTGTCCGTACTGATCTCTGTTCACTAGCCCTGGGACGGGATGGTAAAATCGGAGAGGTCGTCAGCCCATGACGTGGCACATCATGGGATGAAGGATATTTGTGTTAGGTTAGCATCGGTTAGCATATCACGACTCCCTAGTTGATGTTCCAGAGATAGATCGAATCAGTGGCTCGAAACTTTATTGGATATGGCCAAGAATCGCAATCAACGATGAACGTGCTGCAATTTCCTTCTTTCTTCCCTTTATGACAATAATTCGACTAATGTTGTTTGGTCTTGCTAAACACATAGAGCTGCTTCCTTTCCGGATGGAGTCCTTTATTCATCCTCTACCTATTTTTTTCTTCATATGTTGTTGTTGTTTTATTATTATCATCATTATTGTGTGGTGAATCTCCTTGTTGGTGCCTATATTGTACCAGGTTTTGTTTTGAATAAAAATAAATGATGTACAGGGGAAACATAGTAACATGGATATAGGAGATTACAAAGACTGAATGCGTCACCTTACGGGTGTCAGAAGATTCTTCAACTAGTACTTCACGAGGGCTCGCAGGGCATAAAAATTCCTAAGCGACTGGACCCCAGTGGATAGTCAGTCATATGTGCGCTGCTGTATGTGAACGGATCCGCTGGAAGAAGGAAGGACTGCATTATCCTCCGATTCCTTTTCATAATTCACGTTTACGCCCCCCAACCGACTGCAGTTCGGAAGAAATAAAGGATGAGTATTTACCAAAAACTGTCTGGTTTGCTGCAAAAAGCAAAACGTTCAGATACAGTCGTTTCAGCAGGCAACTTCAAATGTCTAAGTGGGGAAGTTGTTCCATTCTGAGAAGTATATTATTGGTGACACCGACGGAATTCCTTGCTTACGAACAGACAGAGGTGATTGTTTCCTATAGTTCTGTTCAGATAATCATCTGTTCCTGGTCAGCACTAACTTCAGGCACAAAGACAGACATTTCCTGACCTGGCTACTTTCATCGTCAAATCAACGATGGACTCAAATAGACCATATAGCGATAAGCTATCAGGGTCTGAAGAGAACTGCTGCTCTTTCTGGAACACGTGCATAAACTCCAATCACGCTCTGGTCCATGCACGTTTATGCTTACCACTGAACGGACATAAAAGACAGACAGCAATGAAGCCGTTACACCCCCAACTTGATCAGGATACAGTCACTATTTATGGAAAGAGATAATCAACCGCGTATGGTAGATTGATAGCACGACTCATCCTCAGGAAGCCTGGCACAATATATAGTCAGCTGTACGTACAACTGTAAAGGCCGTTAATAACCTAAAACCAAAGATTAGTAAAAACCAGTGGATTTCTGCTACTTCATCTGAAATGATGGATACAAGAAGACTGATTCCAGAGGGCTCCGAATATGATGAGGAGTGAAAGCTTCTCAAACGCAAACTGACAAAAAGTCTTCGCAACGACCGTGAACAGTGAAGGGAGACAAAAGTGGAAGAGATGGAAAAGGTGTCGGCTTATCAGTAAGACAGGTAGCAAAAGGTAAACGATAAGCGAGACAATCTCTAAAGAAAGTGGAGCCCTAATTAGCTCTCAGGATAGACGACCGGGATGCTGGAGGGATTATTTCAATGAATAATTTAACTGTCCTACATCCATGCTCAACTTACTCAACATATAACACCGACCTGAATGAGATGTATACACTGGTCCTCTATCTGTGACTGAGGTTACAAAGGCTATCATTGGTTTGAAACAAGGCAAAGCAGTGGGACCCGATGGAATGAATCCGAAGGTGTTCAAAAAGAGTGGTGACGTATTGCTGTCTGGAATAACTAATGCATTAGGCAACGTCTGGGAATCAGAGATAGTCCCGTTGGACTGGTATAAGTCATTCATCATCCAAGCATACGAGAAGGGAAACAAGTCTTCCCGTGATAATTATAGGGAGATTAGCTTGACTTATATGGTATGTAAAGTTTAAGGCTCAATAATCATTAGCAGATTAAGTGATGCTCGAGAGAAATAAAAACGATAAAACGAGGTAGGCTTTAGACCAGGTAAAGGGTGCATTGATTATATCTTCACTCTTCGACAGATTCTGTAAAATAGACATATTTATCGCCGTCCAACAATTGCCATATTTCTTTACCTGAAGGTGAAAACCGACTCTCTCGACCTTGAGTTACTATGGAAATGTTTATTCGTGAAGGGAGTGACAAGAAAATACATCCCACTAATCAACCCCTAATCTAGTGGTTAGGATTCCTGGTTCTCACCCATGCGGCCCGGGTTCGATTCCCGGCGCGGGAGGGCCTTTTGTGCGTCGGTAGCACGGTGGTTAGGACTCTCACCAACCATGCACATGGTCCGGGGTTCGATCCCCTGCCGACGCACACCTGATATCTATGGTCGGCCTGCAAAATTTGGGCTACCGATATCGAATGCTGAAAATTCCATACTTGTACCAAAACTACTGTGTGGTTTCAAGCTTAAAATCTACTTGAACTCACACAGCCGTGTAAGATCTTACAGAGAGTTGTCATCTGAAGTGATGACAACCAATGATGTCCGTCAGGGATGTCCCCCTTATACCCATTTCTGTTTAATTCTACTACAGATGCGGTAATGAACTTAACCCTAACTCACTTCAGTGACTCAGGGATTGAATTGTTACCAGGGTATAGTCTTCTTAACTTAGAGAATATGTGGATGATATAGTCCTCCTAGGTAAAGACGCTGATAAAAAGCAGAGTCTTCTGAACACCTTGAACAGAAATCTTAGAATGTTTGACATGCAATTCACTCTTGTAAAATGTAGTAAGATGATGCTACAGGATTGGACGGGAATACATTGACTCCTAGTTTAAGGACAGGTAAGAGTGAAGTGGTAGAAAGTATTGACTACTTCACATGTTTGGGAAGTTGCATCAGTCCTGGTGGACTAATTCACTGACAAATCTCCTCACAGATACAAAAAGCTCGTGTGGCATTTGCAAACTTGCATCATCTCTGATGTAAACGTGATATCCGGCTAACGATCCAAAGGATGTGTATATAATGCTGAGCAGTTTGCTGCCTTCTCCCCTTTATGGCTGTGAGAAATAGCCATTGAAAGTGGAAGCTATGAAACGGCTGCTGCTATCTCTGACTACAGACGTTTGCGTTCTATCTCACGTGTTAAGTATTATATAATAATATGGTGAGTAATACTCAGATGAGGGAGTAGAGTTTTAACTAAGAAGGGGAAAGTGAATCGATGAAGTTGTGCAGCTACATTGGTTGAGATGGCTAGGATACTTGTGTGTTACGGATTCCCAGCCAACTACTACTACTAGTATTGCATAACTTCATTTTCAAGTCTCACCACGAGCTGGATTCAGTTAGGGAACCATTGAAAACCACTAGGGAATACTGGACAGCTGTTTCGTCCTTTATTCGAACTCTTCAACGGTACATAATCATGACCTCATCACGGATTGAACTGAGGGCATTCAGGATGACCACTCAACCACTGAGATGGAATCTAATGTCTGACGACGCATGAATTTTATCTTCCGCCAAAACACCTGTCCAGTAAGTAGTCCATAGTTGGCTTTCAATGGTTGTCTGTCTAACTGAAGTCAGTTCATCATCAAACTTGCAATCAATTAAATCCCTGAAAATCAATCCTTGAAAATTATTATATCATTATGTATATTCTTATATTCTCTGGGTATTCTGACCTCTGACAGGAAGTGTTTCTGGAACTTTCTCCCTTGTTTGTTGTTATATTAACTCACAAATGTAAGACTTTGAAGAGAAGAAAGAATTCTCTTCACTGTAAACCATCTTTATATTTTCCCATAAAACAATTATTTTATAAAAAAACTGTAGATTTTCATCATAACTTTATAGACGACAGTATATATATGCTACCCCCCCCCCCATACAATGAAAGCGACATTCACAAGGAAAGTGAGGCGGACAATAATGGTAATAATAATAATAATAATCAGACGGCCTGACACAACTGCTATACGACGACGAGTGGTTTTGTAATTCGGAAATAGCACGTGCTAATAATTGAGAAGGGTGAATACCGCTCATAAAGGATTACATAAATGACTATAGGAATATATATATATATATATATATATATATATATATATGAGGTGGGATGAAGTCGGCTATAACAATAATGCCTAAAGTCTTTCACAGTTTGTCTTAATGCTTTATTTAAGCTTAGGTTAAAGTTAGTTAGGTAACAAAAGCCGACAGAATGATGGCATATACTACTAACTCAGAGTGTGGGTGTGAGTAGTTTGGAACCATTCAGGCGTAAAGTAGGAGTGTTTGCCAACCAGACAGAAGTGATATGAACAACACTGGGCAGTTGTTTTGCTTGTCTCAGGTTGAGCTCATCAGTGGTATGTCTAAATAGACTCACCTCCGACAGACGTATCTGTTCAATCTACCCAAATTCTATCTAGCTGCTTGAGCAAACTAGTAATACAACCAGGTTCACCAACCGATAAACTTGGTTCAACAAAAGCCGATGACAGAAGAATCTACATGAAGTTTGTTAGTCATTTGAAGCCCAGTTGGACAGAACAGATTTCTCACAGACCCAGGCGCCATGAGGTATGTTCATTGTGTACAGCTTGATAATATGACCTAATTAAAACTATATACTACTGGCTGACTGAGATGAGTAGTTGTATACCCACACACTTACCCACTGACGGACGACCTAGTTAGCCAGGTTGACGTGGATGGAAAGGAATTTCAACCTATGGCTCCGTACTACGACTGTTATTTGCTGGATAAAGAATAGCAGTGGAATTAGAGAGGCTCGCATTTCGTCCTACTTGGGACTTCGTCTGCTGGATATACCAACTGGCATCTTACCTAGCAAATGGTGTTCTCATCACTGACGTTGAGTCGAACACATCAGCAACCATCGTTTCAAACACCAAAGCGTTGACGCCCACTAGGACACATGGGTGACCACAGCCACATGTTGTGCTGGGATTCAGCTGACGAACTCCCCAAATAGGACAAAATGAGCGCATCCTGGATTCTACTGCCAGTAGTCACCACCGACCAAAATAAAATCATGTAAATCCTGACATATTATCGAAGCTTCCCATAGTACAAACCGACATGTCAATACAGACCGAACATTTCTCTTCAAAATGAATGAAATTAATTAAAGGGTGAATTCAAAATTTCACGTTTCACTACGAATGGATATCATCAGTTGGAGAACCATCGAAAGCCACCAGGGAGTACTGCCAGACAGTTGTTTCGTCTTAGTGCTTGCGACTCATCGACAGTACGCACCCACCACAGGACCACTCAGCCATCGAGATCCGACTGAATCGCCAACTCATGAATTCTAACTGCTACCAATTCGTGATTTTAGCGCCCTACTAACACCAGCCAGTGTCATCGGCTGGCGGGAGTATTTTGTCGTCACTTCCGACCGGAAGGACCTCACCAGTCACAACGTCTCACTAGAACTCCAGGCAGCTTCGTCTTGTAGCCAGTAGTCACTAGAGAGCATCAGATTAATTTTCATTCAAGAGGAGTTTGTTCGTAGGGGGATTTGATTTGTTTCAAGTCCCAGTGGAGTGAGTACTGCTGATGAGTTCCAGACTAGCACGAAGCAAACGTCTAATACTTCCATGATGGTTCAACGGTTCACTAGCTGATTATCAATCCATGATCATACTTGAAAATACAAAATTAACTTAAATCATACAGAACTGACTTACATTTACTTGTAAATTTCGATTATATCCAGTACTATTATTATTATTATTAATAATAAGATTGTTATTATGATCATTATCAGGATAGTGTTGTGAATATTTTGTAGGACAATTCGTATTTCGTACAGGGAATTGTTCAAAATGTTGAAATGAATTCAATTTATTCATCATATCGTTACTACTACTATTATTATTAGTATTAGTATTATTATTAAACATTGTCGAGTGCATAACTTGTGTTGATGCAGGAAAATTATTGTATTGAGAATAAGGCATTGAATTTTCATATGGAAATGATTCACGTCCATTCACCAGCATATTACGATATGGGATTGATGAATTCATAGGGATTTGTTGTTGCTGTTGCTGTTGTTCACAAGGACCTAATCATTGTGTTCATCATGAAAAAAGAAGTATTAAAACCGAATAAATTTTAAAACTGAGATAACAGGTATACAAATTTTCAAAGAATTATAATATATAATCATGTAAAGTTACAAGATTGATAACGAATTAACTTTTCGTTGTTTCGTCCTCATTTGATACTCTTCAGCCAATCAAGGATTGAACCAATGGATCTTCAAATTACAGGATGGGCATGCTACAATGGATAGACCATTGCTCCTCCCGCCCTCCCAGGACCTGGAGGATCAACAAGCTCGCCTAATAACCTGAAACCCTTGAATTAGGCACCTGGTGAGGATATAAGTGACGAGTCCCGGAAAAAGGCGAAAGACCCACCTGTCCAGTACTTTCTAGTTTCCAATGGATCTCTAACTAAAATCGATCCCTGATCAGTTTAGACACACCTATTGTGTTGGAGGACAGGTATTTATACCACTACTACTATCTGCCTGTCTGGATTCAACATAGAACTTGGCACCGAAGTGCAACAGTTCGAGTTACCACGTTCCAAATATCACACAAAGGTAGACAAGAAGATGAGTGGAGAGAATCAACAGAGTTTTGACAAGTATAAGAGTGAAACAGAATGAGTAATGGTAGAATAAATCTGCGTGAGCCATTGACAACGATTTTGAGCCATGTTATGTAACTTTATAGCCTCGTCAATTGATTTTCCCTCTTGGCCCAACACTACGCCTAACGTTAACATTACTTACCTTATTATACCACCTAACGTGAGAAAGAGATCGTAGACATCTATGATCAAAAACAGTCAACCTTTTCATATCTTCAACTCTTATTGGCCATGTTTCAGAGACATAGAGGACGGAGCGAACTGATGAGCAGTACACACGTCCCTTGGTTGATAGCCGGACGTCACCTGTCTAAATATAGTTTAGTAAACGTAATTTGCTTTATTCCATAACAGTACTTATGAGATGCAGTGTGAAATTCTAAGCATTTCGTACAGTATTGCATCTAATTTACTCAACAACAGCAAAAACAAATCAAAAAGTAATGGCACGGGGTAAAGGCAATCAGGATTGATACAAACGATATTTTGACATTAGCAGTGACAAAAAAGTCAAAATGTACAAAAAGTGTAATATAATACTAATGTTAATGACTAAGACTGTAAGATAATTGAAATAGTATCTCCATAAATTACAATTAGAAGAAGATATAAGAGCCACTTATTACACTGGTTACACATTAAGACAAGTTGCACGCTTAACACTATCTCTACCACATAGAACCCGGGTGGGTGGGCCACATAGGGTATCGTTGAGTTCTTGTAATTGGTTGTACAGGCGCTTAGTCTTTGACAATGACTATTACTCCTACCTGATGAAATGCAAGAGGGAAAGTTGACAGTCAGAAAACATGGATTTATAGCATTTGTCACATGAGTTCAGGTGTCTATAGTCTACAATAATAACCAGCTGACTTAGTAGTACACTACACTACTTGCCATACTAACAACCTTTAAGACCCTGTGCAATATATGACATAGTTATTTTTGAATAGTCCAGGTAAAACTAAGGGGGGGGGGAAGGGAATTGAAGTACAATAGGTAAGATGCAAGAGTTAATGAAATTACAAAAGTGTAACAGCAGAAGACAAGCAAAGGTGTATTTTCCTTTGATCAAACCGCCATTTATATCTATCTATCTATACTGTTTATATTCTTTAACCAATCATCACTGAGCATGTGATTTTTGTTTACGTTAAACGACATGAGAAAGAGTGTTCAAATATATCGATCATAGTATTCTGTTGCTAATGCAGTCAGTATACAACCGTGGGAAAAGTATTATGTCTCCAACATCAAATAGAATGTTCATATACATATATAACATTCGATTGCTAATGCAGCAGTATTAAACTGTGAAAATAGTATTCTCACGTTAGCACGATCAAATACAATAATTCATACTACTGAGAGAATAATATTCCGTCGGAACACATTGTCTGTGTAACATCACAACAAAAGTAGAAGTTGAGTGATTACTGATTATCTTAACTACCCTTAGTGTGAGGATGATGGTTAGACGGAATATTTTATTAGAAATCGGCAAGATATGGGATGATCAGATCAAGAAAGGTGAGAGGATAAAAGAATTACTCCAAGGTATTTTATACTTGACTTCGTTTCTATTTCAATGTCTTCTATGGTTATAAGCATCTTGTGAATGAACCAGATAGTGTAGATCACGTTTATGCCTGAAGACGAGGTTAACTGTCTGATACTTAGAGGGATTCCAATGTAAGACCATTTAGCTTAAACCTATGACGCAGTAACCTATACACTACTGGTTGGCTGGAAGTTGGACGTCAAGACACAAATGAAGCCAAAACTTCTTTGAATGCATGTTGGAAGTGAATTACATAGCTTACAGAATGGGCAAAGTTCAACAATACCATCCCAATGGATGCGAACGCACGAGTGACCTTCAGCTGACCAATCATAAAAAAATGAAGAATTTTTGCTCAAAAAATGATGTATATTGACAAGAAAATGCTTGAAATCCTGCTTGCAGTCTTCTTAAAAAGCCCTCGGTTGAATTATTATGATTTCCAGCAAGAGGATAGACGACTGCTTAGCAGGAAAACGTGGATAATAAAACAAATTAAAATAAGTGATACCAACTATAAATCTATCCCTAATCCTAACCATAAGCTTAATCCTGATCCTAACCCCAGTACTTACCTTAACTCTAATCCTAACCGTAACGAGCTATTAACACTTTGTCCAAACAGTACTTGACAACGTGATCTGGGTGAAATTTGCTGCTTAGCTGGTGAATAGCGTTGATATTTCAGCTATGATAATGACAGATGCCGTTAGCCAACGGCTAGCATGCGTTCAAGGTCATTGGAGCCTTTACACTCCTGGGACGCTATTGTTGAACTTCGCCACAGAAAGTTCAGTATACCACAAGGAAGATAATATGACCGGATTCAAGGACGCTGACTAGTTATCGGGTTAACTGGTTCCTCTTCTTGTATGTATTCAGTTTACGATTCAAAACTAAGATTATTCGACATTATGTATATTTCACTCTGGTTAGATTAACTGCTTTTATTGGGAAAGTGTAGAGCATCTGCTCACAGCAATCTGTGACAATAAGAATCAACCAATAGGAGATCGAGAGTAGCCGATCTGGCGCTAATAATAAGATGGAACTTATGATAAAAAATAAGGAAGAAATCAAAGCAGAACCAACCACCTTACACAAAAAAAATAATGTGGAATCATTTCAAATCACCACACATTTTGAAAGAACTAAACAAAATCGGAGTGGGTATGAAGATAATCATAATAACGCATATTGAACAAATCTTAGTGATTGATACAGGTTACTTTCGATTAGTAGTGGTGTATATACATTATAGTGAAATTAATGCTACACTAAAGTGCAACTAGACAGCAACGGAAAGACTGTTTAGAAAATCCTTCGTGGACGATCGAATCGCAATATCTGTACTTAATAGAACGTTTTCGTTTTTCGCCTAGACTGTACATTATTGTTCTCACATTTCTCTTTGTTTCTGTTTAATCTCTAATGTTGAATGTTTCTCCTTATGGCTGTGTGTGATACACTGATAATGTTCAAGCATTGGTTTGCAGGGATTTGGTTGATTGGTTACAGGACTTCAAAATGAGCTGACATTGGTTAGAGAACCATTGGAAAACCTGGGAGTACTGGACAACTGTTTCGTCCTAGTTTGGGACTCTTCATCAGTACGCACCCATCACAACTGGGTTCGAACCCAGGACCTTCTGCCAATTCACGATATAGCGCAACCGCTAGCCAATGTCTTCGGCGAGTATTTTGTTCTCACACCCGACCTTGAACTGTCGTTCGCGGGAATTGTTGGTGTGTGATTCTTGTGGATAGTTTTTGATCCCACATATTGTTGGGAATACTCTACCTTGATTCTAAGGTACTTTTCCTACGGTTCAATATCAGCTAACTAATTCTGTTCTATAGAGCTTGTTCTGTATTTAGAAAATTAGCTGCCTGCCAAATGCCACTGTTGATGTAATTATTCATGAATACAACCACAAATTTATCGAAGCATTATCATCTTTTCGTTGTCTTTACGGCATTTTATGACTGTGCGTCTCTCAGGGAATTTCCAAACAACCAAATAGTAGAAAGCAAAGTTTGATTGCCTCAGTGCATACCACAACAAGTCAGTGTTGGTCGATAAAAAGACTCTAGAAGATATTGACTCAGAGGATCATTTATTTTTTATGTCATGCAAACTCGAAGATCTACAAACAAAAATCAAAAAGTTGGTGGAAGAGTCAGCAAAGACACGACACTTTAAGGGGACGTAGAGAAGACGACGGCAATGAAGAGACCCAGTCAACAACAAGAACAAGCATCCGTCACTATCAATCAATTGGATGTCACTTCTTCCATTTATCTAGGGTAGCACCATTTCAACCAGAGACAGGCGGTCAGGACAAGAAAAGCAAGACAGACCTCCATTACTTTCATATCAGTGTGGACATCTACTGCACACCCAGCATAAAGAACAAGATTAGAATTTTCAACATTAATGTCAAGTCGCAGATTATGTATCCTTTAAACATTTGACAAATCTTCAGAGGCTGTACAGTCGTATTTGTATTTACCAAATATGTATTGTAGTCCATTATTGAGTAATAGGGGGAAGGGGTGACATAATTGATATAATTACTCAGAAGTGGCTTTAGAAGTAAAGTATAAAAGTTGTAAATTACTTAGTACTCAAAGGCACAAAGGAAGAAAGGGTTAGAACTTTGATAAGGTTAAAATTGCACTTGGTGAACCAAGTAGTGCTAGAGAATTCAGCTAGTAACTTGGTGAACTCAAGTCATGTAGCTCCACCGGAGTCGTCTTTCAAGATCATCTATAAGGTGAGGCCAAATGGTATAAAGGGCGTTAGCTTTCGGCATTTGTGAATGGCAGAGTCGTTGACAATT